ATAAAACTATTAACCCTACATCGACTAATTTCGATTATTTTCGATAAACTCCGATAACTGCGTTTCAATAACTCAGAAGTGTATATATCTGGATATAAATCGATAGCTCGATAGACGTTGGATATATTAAATACTTGGATACTTAATTTTGATAGCTCCGTATTTTTCGAAAGCTATCGACAAATTTTGATAACTCGTTCCACTCTGGTAACACGGTTCAATTCGATAAGCACTGATAACTCGATAAAATTATATAAACTTGAAATTTCGATAACTTGAAAAATTTTGAAAATTCCAAAAACTTCGGTTTGATAATTCAAAAACTTTCAGTAAATCGGTTTAAATCGATAAGTTGACAGAACTCGGTGTATTGCGATAACCCGATAAATTTCGTTAATTCTATAAATAATGATAATTCAATTAATATCGATAACTTGATAAATTTCATTATTTTTTTGATTCTATACATTTTGACAACTCAATGACGCTGACCAATTTGAATAACTCGAAATGTTGCGATTACTCAATAAACAAGGATAACTCGAAAAGAAGAACTTCAAGATTAAGTTAAGAATGAGGAAAGCTAAAGCTGAGCGGATATGCCGTGATGGAGCCATCAAAAAAATTTCCTTTTATTAAAATTAGTATCGATCGATAACAACTACCCTTCACTAACCTCTAACACATGCTCAAAATAATAAAAGCAACCCTTTTCGGCAAATTTTATACAATTCCTTCTGCCTTTGTAGACATCCCCAGTTGCTATGAATGTACATATGTATGTATATATACATATGTACTGCTAGATGTATTGATTACCTTACAAAAGCGTAAAGTATTTAGCAATAAAATTAAAAAAGAACAAATAATTATAACATGCCATGTCACATATGTGTATGTTTAAGCATTTTAGAGGGCGTGCCGAAGCGCTGCAAGGTTGCAAGGACATACCAGTTCCACCACACAAACATTCCTTTGTGTCCATGTGTTAATTGCGATTATGTGTGAAATTCAATTATTTCATCGCTTAAACATTTGACAAACTTAATAATGTCTTAACTTAACTTATAATAAATAAGGCTAAGCAAAAGGAGTAGGAGAGGATACAGAAACTTACAACTAGCAACAAAGGAGACAAGTGTAGTTGTGTCAGGTGTGCAAACGTGTTAAAATTGTTGCAAGCCCACTTGTGCGCAAGTGCTTTTCTTTCACTAAACAGATAAGAAGACTAAAATGGGAAAGTGTGAAAGTAGAGAGCTCTTCGTACTTTAGTGTGTTTTTTTTCGCAGCTATTCAAGCTTTTCCTTTTGTAAAAAAAAAGCCAATTAAAAAGACTGCAATAGCCTTTGAGTTTGCTCGCTACTATACTCTCTTTCACATCATTTGCTACTTCACTTTCTTAGGCTTTTTTATCACTACTATGTAAGTACATACGTACGTATTTGTGCTGTGTGAAGTCACTTCTATTTTTTCCATCTCTTTCTTGGCAAAAATTTAATTACCCCACTTGTCAGTTAGCTACTGTTGGCTTTAATGCACTTCGCAACAAATGAAGGATGTAGCCGGCATGCAAAATGGTCGCTTGCTGAGAGGATATCTGCTACTTTCAGTAAAATAACTTACGGAAAGGGAAAAGAAAAGGAGCGTGGAGTCAGTTATTGTCCATGCAGAGAGCGCTCTTACAGGGAGTTACAGGAAAGAGAAAGCGAGTTTGAAAAGCCGGCGTCTTTGATTATGAGTAAGTCAGTAGATGTTGAAGAGTACTTTAGAGAAATGAGAAGGGCCTTAAAGCACATGTAAGCATCATTTATGCATGTAGATTTGAAAATATCAAAAAAAGATTCTGAGACTTTTTCGTAGTCCTGCACTGAATATTTTGTTAATAAAGAGTAACACCTAGAATAGTATGACTGCTGTTTTTTCGAGTCTGTTGTAGTTTTGGTTCATTATTTTTTTCGCGTGAAGTTCTTGTCTGCCTTATGAAGTAATTTTGTTTGAAGCGTCCATTCATTCGGAATTTTACATTTGGCCTCCGGAGTAATACCGCTCAGCTGATTTGAAGTCAGTAGCAGACGGAGCTTGTTGTTTAAGCCTAGACATCCACGCCATTACAACCTTAAATTCCAGATTCATCATTTAGGCTAGGTTGTCATTCAAAAATAGGATCTTGCTCTAAGACACAGTAAACGTGCAAGTTCTTACACTTCTAAGTCCTTGTGAGCTCAAAAATCTATGGCTACTTGAGCTTCTGGGGCAGGGAGCGGAAAATTATTTATGAGATTCGATAGTTAACTATGGTCTATCCTTTCATGAGCTCCATTACAGCTTTTAAATGCCACTCATGACAAATGAATCATGTATCAGCCTGATAGCCCGCAAGTCCCCTAGGCGACTGCTAATAGCCCAAATCAGACTTCCTACAAGCTTTTTCAGCTCTTCCTGTTCCACTAGTAATTACTATAATTTTTATATTGCTAAGATAAACGACCTAAATTCAAAGGAGCCTGCATATCTGGTACACCGGAGGCTCCAAAACGGACTAGGACATTATGGCTTATAAGACTGAGAGATTCTGTTGACTATCACGGGGAATGAAGTGGTACGTTTTCTGGTCAAGAAAAAGGAAAAGCCATGTTATCTACAGTCCCAGGATACTTTTTTAGTGTACTGCGCAGATGTGGATGAAAAACGACTAGAATCTTATATTGGAGGCAATAGTCGGTAAAGTAAGCTAAGCGATTAAAAACGCTCCTCAATCCCGATTTTGGAATATTCATAGTTTTTTCTTCCGGTCATTTGATGATGAAAACGGGAAATATGCCGCGGGTGAACTTTTAACGGCTGACTGCGTAAGACTGAAGATCCATCCTATCATAGTGTGCCTCTGTCTTAAGTACGAGTAGATCGTGTTTAGAAACCAGGGATGGCCGCATCAAGTTAGTATCCTGATCGGTGAGAGTTAAGCGCATCTTTGCAAGACAAGGAAACCTTCTTGCTGTTGATAGACCTGTGGACCAGTGGTGACGAGGTGACAGTGCATAGGGATGAAATCTCTTGAAGACTACGGGCCAGGAAGTGGGTGCCAGAAGACCTAAAAGCCTGAACAAATTTCGAAGTCTATCCTACTATCAAACGATTCATTAGTTAACCTAAGCAATGCACTACTTATGCAGTATATCGATATCAATTCCTTTACGCCAGCTGATGATTTAAATTTGTAGCTCTTGAGCTAAGTTCAGCGAAAGTTAAAATCGAGATTTCCTTGTGTGGTGTTTGAAGTATTTGAGTAGTCTTGTCTCCAAATCTATTGAGTTTAATACAGAGCCATGTACTAACCGGTGCTTGTATAGTTGTCTGCCTCGTTTACCTTCTCGGTGGTCTCGTTTCCTTCTACTTTGCCAAGTCCGGATGCCCAGCAAAGAAAGGCATTGAGTTGGACCAGCGATGGTAACGCGGCACAACATATCCGTACAAACGCCGATTTCATTAGTCTTGAACTAAATAGGACGCTTCCAGCCAGAAAAGTAAAAGCAGAGTATCCTTTCAAAACTGAAAGTGCTATCTCCTAGGAAACTTGCTGCCTGCTGCAGAGCATAAATCTCAGCTTGGAAAATGTTGCAGTCGTTTGGCGGACGAAAAGACTGACTAATCGCTACTCCATCTTATAAGTATCGGTTAAATGGGCATGTCATCATCTGCCACTGGTGGAATTTCGTATCATTCTTCTCTGGTTGTAAAGTACCCAAGGAATCCTTATATTGTAGTCCAAAACCGGTGGAATGACAATGGTGCTCAACTTTGGTTCCATCTCTTCATTTCCCAATGTTCGAAGTTGTCGGCTTCCCTAAGCTTTGGGCGCCTTTTGCAGCCACAGCATGAACGAACGCTCTCGAGCTCTATACAAAGAGAAACAAAGCGGTAGCTATTCTGAGAATCAACTTAATAACTACCCAGCCAGCCAACGGAATGATAATTAAAAGTGCGGAAATTAGGTGCAATATGTCAAACAGAATGAGAACTATAGCGAATGAGTTGGAGTTAGGAAGGAATAGACCAGCGCATAAATTTTCCAGAGACGATAAATGCCACTTCAAATGCTTAAAGAGGAAGGAAATACTAAAGGAAAGGGCTGGAATCCTCCTAGTTGCGATGTCTTGAATAAATCTGAGGAGAACGAACGCTAAAAGCAAGAAAGTCTTCAAAACTTGCATACAAAACACAATATTTGAGCCAGAGCAGCCCAAGAAAGTCTTCAAAACGTGCGTAGACAACATAATATTTGAGCCAGAGCACCCCAACAAAGTCTTCAAAACCTGCATATATAAAAACGCATTTGATTGAGAACATCACAAGAAACTCTTAAGTATGTATGTATTGATAAATATACATTGGTACTGGAAGCAAAACCTATGATTTCAAAAATTTCAATAAAAAATAGCAGGCGAGTCAGAACAGCCGAAGACAAAAAACAGCTTTCCAGTCAGGAGAGCCGAAGAGTAACATAGAACAAGGAAATTACCAACGAAAAGCGGTAAGGTGATTTATACAATGTACAAACAAAAATAAATTTAGAGCTCCAAAACAGAAACGCTTTGCATCCAGTACAGCCAAGGCGAAATTTCAAAGATTGATTGGTAAAATATGCATTTCAGTTAGAAGAACACAGGAAGCGAGTATGTATTCAAATATTGTTTAAATATAAACGCTTTGCAGTCATATGAGCGCAACGAGCTTTCACGTACTGTATAAACCAAAATGCTTTCGAGTCTTTACAGCCTAGGGAATATCTCTCAAATACGGTTTGGCCAAAAACGCATTCGAGTCAGAAAAGTTCATTCTTTCAGCCAGGAATTGATAAGAAGGCATTTTGTGCCAGAAGTCATAGAGCATTGAAAGAGGTAAGAAGATTATATTGAATTTCTGAAAAACCTGTAGACATTTCATACAAATCTAACTATTTAGGATTTAAATTTTAAATCTTTTTTTTTTTTGAATTTTACCTGTCAGACAGCCACCTGGTATGCCAAAGTTCTTTATTTGCGAAAAACCTGTAAAGATAGGAAAACATAAAGGTTATGGCATACATATGTACGAAGTATTCACAAAGAAGCTTATGTCTATACCTAACTATTAAAGTGTGGTTAGAAATTCCAAAAGAATATTAGGCCTGCTACTTCGTTCAGAGTTCAAACAAGAATCTTCTCGTTTAAGCTTTTTTTGTAAAGAACACATTCTTCTACACTTTGAGCAGCCTTGGCAGGCCTTTGATCATTTATATTGTTAATATGTATGTATTTACTCGTACATTGCATTCAAAATGAGAGGAAGAGGAAATGTTTAATGGATTTATTGACAATTTGTCTGTCAGAGGTAAATATGTTTATACATATTCGAAGAAAACAAAGAAAAGAAACATTATACTTAGACCATTACTTTCTGAGGGCAGCTGCCTCGATGTTATTAGTGTTTTTAAGTTTGCCCTGCGGGAAATTCCGGGTGAAAAAAACTAGGGGAACTAAAGTTAATTGAGGACTAAAGACAACCTTATAGCGCTGTTGTTTTCTTTTTTGGTTATTTTTGTTTCCGACAGGGTGGATGTGTGATCTAACTTGTCAAATTTGATTGTAGACAAACCGGTTTCGGCGTGTTACCATCTTCAGTGTCCTTTTTCCTTCGTTGTGTGCCTAAAATGAAGCTGTACGCATTCGATACTTCTACTATCGAACTCGATTGTCAGAAATGGAGAATTAGCTAATCGCCGCTTGCCTAAATATGTACGCATTTTCGACTTGTTCAACTTTTTCCTATTGGGTGTATTTATATACTATACTAAGTTATTTTAAGTTATGTTTATATGTATGTACATGCATTTTTTAACAAATTAACAGTATATCAAATTAACTTGCAAAGTCTTTTGTAATGCCTCAATGTGTTTGGAAAACATTCAACGAAATAAATATTTAATTTTGTGATATTTACTTTTGAAAGCGATTGCCTTTGATATTTGAGTAGCTAGCCTAATAGCCACGTTTACATCCATAGTTATTTCTTTTGTTTTTTTTTGTGTTTCTTGTCTTTGGTTAATTGAAAATTTGGCAACGAACTAAAATAGGGGTTTCAAGCAGCATGCGGATGTTTCAATATTTTTTAGAATTATAATTAATTGGCAAGTAAAATAAAAAAAAAATAGATGGGTATCTTAAAGTAGCCGTGAAAAAAAAATAAAAAAATAAAAGTTAGTTTCTCCAAAGCACCTCTTGGCCCAAGGTTCAATGGTGGGTATAAGCCATCTTTATAAAATTCTACAGTATTTGTCTGTATTGCGCGAGAATGCCCAGAGGCATTGTGCCACTAGGACGTCGGGCGCGTCCTTTGTCACCGCGCGGTTTTTGCTCCGGGTTGTTTGTCATATAACTCCTTCGAGCGACCTGAAAACCTAAAAACGAAGGCGGGCCTTCTTTTGACCCATTTACCTCTATTTTCGGTATTTTTGAAATCGGTACTTGCCGAATAGTTCTTCCAATTCTGATACCCCGTTTTTAATGTCTTTAAGCTTTTTTGTTCCTGCGTGGCTTCATATGATTTCCTAGCGCACGGTGTTGCAAATTCCATACTTTTTTTCGGAAAGGTTTCAGATTCGCTGGCATGTAAATCCATGTAAAGTGCACAGCACCACCACCGCACTTAACCGGAATTGTCAATCAAGTACAAAGCCGCAACAAAGTCCTCAATTCTGTAGCTGGCAGCATTTGGGGCAATGACCAAGAAACGTGTCGGCAACATATATGGACTAGCAGTATGCAGTGGATGAAGCTACAATAAGAGAGGGTGTTAAAGGCCTGAGCACTCGAAAAGACACCTGCTTTATCGTTGACGAGACAGAACTTCAACTCTCATGGGAGACCCGCACATCACTGGCACAACTTCGGTCTTACTACTACAGCAAACTCTACTATGAATCTGAGCAGACTAGACCCCGACGTACTTAATGTAAGACACAAAACAGCTCTTCGTATGCCCACCAAATAACCCAACTCAATTCACACCCCTCATCCTCTGGTTTGCGTCGGAGTGACACGCTTTATGGAGCTACTGAAGACAACTATTAAAGGACTTTACGATCATGGCAGGGCTAAGTAAGCCGCTACAACAACAAAACCTGCCCCAAATCGTATTTCCGGTATGACATAATCGAAGTTTCACTGGGCTCCCGGTTTTTTGCTTAGATTTTGAGTCGGCAACGTTGCCTCCTGCTCTGGGTAGGCTTTCTAATAGAGCGGGATGGAGACAAACGGCGACAAATAAATACTCGCTCAGTCACCGAAGTGCACCAGGATGCATAGGTCTACCTACTATTTTCACTTTGATATCACAAAACAAACTCAAATTAGTTTTCATCAGCGCACTTAATCCGTCTTTGATTCGTTTGTATTTGATTTTTTTTTTTTTTTTTTGTTTTTTTTATATGTATATCTAAAATTTTAATACAAAAAGTATACAGGGGTTAATAAAAGCACACAAACGGCAAACGTACGTTCGTCCATTGTGTTAGGTGTGAAAGTCAAAATGAATGCAAAACAAAACTTTTATTTGTTTTATAGCGCGCGCAAAAATTGAAGCATACTTTTAAGCTAAAAAAAAATGTTGTTTCTTTATTGTCGGCGCACTTGACTTTAGCTGAGGTGGTCTACTTCAGTATTAATTAATTTACAATTCGAAGCTAAAGAAGGGGGTAGTTTTTTTATGAGGTGGAGTTGTACAACTTTACATATTTAAATATGTGCATATTTATGTTAAAACTCGGGTAATTAGCATTCCTTTTGAAATACGGAGACACAATATCTCAGGGTTCGATGCTTCATTTCCTCAACGAATTTTGCATTCTGGTCATAGTGCAAATAAACCTTATTGCAGAGTAATGAGTTCATATGCAGTCGGTGTAAAAAGTATTCGGAGCATTTATGCAAAGACAAGGGACGCATCTAGACATTTAAGACATTGTTCCTTGTGATAGCACGAAAAACTTCAGCGTATGAAAAGAAGTGCGAGCCCAAATGTTTCCACTTTAGCATCGCGAAAGCAGGGTAGTCTGAAAAAAAGTGCAGGAGTATGAAGCTGATCGTCATCTAGGTAGCTCCTACAGGAGGGAACAGGTATGATTCCTATCCCTCTAGGTTTTATCCAGTACTCGCTAAGCTTACACGAGCCCAACAAGAGCGGTATCCTCCACTGCTCCCTATCCGGTGATAATGTTTCAAAAGTACCTTTCCTTGGCAAGCCATCAATCATGCAGTTTCCCGAACAATGTAGCGGTGGTTCGAAACCCAAATGAGCCTGATAAGAAAAGACTCCAACACATTTAAGTGCGAGGTCAGACATTCCCTGAACAATCTCGAGTGCACCTCCATAGCGTTCAGCGGATATCCGTACTGATATAGGTATACATATGCTTACCTCCCACACTGACGTCACGCTCTACAGTACAGAGTCTAGCAGCTATTTCCGCCTGAAAGACACTGCAGCATTCCGGAAGCCTGAGCACAATTTTGATGGAGAGGTCCCGAAAAAAGGCTCTGCCACCAACTCTGCCTCCAAGTTTTGATCCATTCTTGAAATAATTATCCACTCTCTTCTTCCAGTACATTCGCCTCTCCCAGTCATCCGCTGAGGGAATATAGGCAGAGAAAAAGTTTCTGGGAACCACCTCGTAGGCGCCGCGGTACACCGTAATCAGATAATCTTGGGTAAAAAAAGGGTATTCAAAGATCCTCCCTTGACCGTGACTTTTTAATCTTCTGCAAAGATGATCACCCAACAACCCATCATCTCTAGTTCCTCTAGAAAGTCGTTAACAACCACGATCCAGAGCAGAGGAGAGGACACCACCTTACGTGGTGCCCCTACTGACTCTTCGCTGAGGTGGGTGCACCCCACTCTGCCGTGACAGTTCTATCGCGGAGTAAGCTGTAAATGAACCGTATTAGGTTGGTTTCAGCCAGTGTTTTAAGAGCCTTCACTAATGCCGACATTGTTAGAGGTCCGCACGATGTCGAGGAAGGCGCCTACTTCAAAATCTTTATCAATTTAGGCTTCTTCTATCCACTTTACTAATGTTTGTAGAGCGTTATCTACCGACCTTCCTTTGCAATAAGAAAGTTGGCCTCCCGAAAGGCAGTCACAAGGAATACCGTTTGTTATGTGAAAGTCAAGTAGTCTCTCCAAAACTACTTTATCTGTACTGAGACCCATGAAAACCACTTTAAGAATGGTCTGAAGCGAGAATTCACTATCGTGCAAGTTTTCGTCCAATATTGAATATGTTTTCATAAGACTGATAGGGAAAAGGGAAAACAGGTTGTAGTGAGATTTCGGGAACTAGCAAAAAATCCAGACGCTCCAACGCGTTGGAGGGTTAATTTCACCCAAAAGGTTTAAGAGGCGACATAAGTTCCTACAGAAGTTTATGTTTTTATAAGATTTTTTCATCACCCATTGTATACTCGTCCACTATTGTACAAATTAACATACTCGACCACTAAAATTTTTTTGTCCCGATTGGCTACAACGCTAATTTTAGAAAACAGTTTCAACAGCTTTCCATTATTGGAGGCAATTATCGAAAACAGGTTGAAGCAAAAACCATTTCAAACACGCATTAACACTTGAAATCTTTTTTCGAGTTCATACATTTTTAACTCTGTACGATATTTTTTTATCGTTTCTTTAATGTAGCCTTATTTTGATTAGCTTTATATTGAATATAGTATTTTATGCATAATAAATGAATCAGCGCTCTTGAGAAAATAAGAAGATGAAGGAAAAGAAGAAACAGTTGATTGAAATTTCAAGCACGAAAATCGGCAAAACCGGAGTGGCCACTTGTGGCAAACGCGTCTCAGAAGTGGACTATAAATTAAAGAAAAAATAAACCGAACAGGGAAGAAACAATAAAAGCAAAAAAATAAAACAGAAAATATAATTAAAAAAATCAAGTTTAACTAAAACGAGAATAGAACAAGCAATTTAAAAGAATGAAAATATAAACAGG